GGGTCGGGCAGGAGAAGGAAAACTTTGTTGTTACAAGGGCCCCAATCCGCATTTCCTGCACCCACCAACTTAACTTCTCCAGAGGCTTTTAACTGCACGTGAATTCTGGGGCTGAGGGTCACTTCTAAAATTGGGGGTTCCAGGGGTGTCCCCGTGTTGCCCCCCCCCCCGTTCCTTCCTTTCCCCTGGAGGGGCCTGCCGCAAGGCCGCCTTCTTCTGTGGCCTTGCCTGAAATACGTTCCTCTCTCCTCCCGCAGAATCCAAAGACGAGGCGTCTCCCCCAAAACTGAAATGCGAGCTTTGCGGCCGCCTCGACTTTGCGTACAAATTCAAGCGTTCGAAGCGCTTCTGTTCCATGGCGTGTGCGAAGAGGTACCTCCGGACCCCAGAGCCCGTGGGAGGTTGGGCCCCTTGGACTGTCTGTAGTCGCAAGGCAAACCCTAAACCAGGTTTAACTCTGTGAAGGGCAGCCTTACTGTAGGGATTGGCGGCGGAGATTCGGCAATTGACCGACGGGGTGTTCTGGGGTTGCACCTGACGGAGTCCTCGACTTACAGTAACAATGGAGCCCCAAATTTCTTGTTGCTAAGTGCCATGTTTAGGTCAGTTTTGCCCCATTCTACGCCCACCTGTTGCTAAGTGAATCAGTGCAGTTGTTAGTCACGCGTTTGTGAATTGAATCTGGTTTTCCCCGTTGACTTCGCTGGTCAGAAGGTCGTCAAAGGGGTTCAGGACACTGTGACCCTCATAAATATGAGTCAGCTGCCAATCACCCTTTGATCACGTGACTGTACAACGGTCGTAAGGGCGAAAAACGGTCCTAAGTCCCTTTTTTCACTGCCGTTTTAAGTTTGAACAGTCCCCAAACGCACCCTTGTAACTGAAGGGTTACCGGTAATTGTCAGATTTATTTCCTACCCGCCTCTCGGTTTGAGTTGGCTCTGCCTCTTCTCTTGGACACGTCACCCAGAATGTCCGGACATCCGTAAGGAGCGAAGTTGGGTCTTCCTGGCCCGTCTGGGGCCACCTGGCTCTCCAAGCTAAGCAGGGTCGCACCTGGCTTCGATTCGGATGGGAGACTCGGCCTTCCTTCTCCTCAGCGCCGTATTAACCTCTCTGTCCCCCTCCCCCCCCCGCAGGTATAACGTGGGTTGCACCAAGCGAGTGGGACTCTTCCATCCGGACCGCAGCAAGGTGCAGAAACCGAACCCGCCCGCGCACTGCCGACGCCGACCCTGCAAGGGGGCCCTTCCCCCGCTCACGAAAGAAAGCAAAAAAACGGTTAGCCTGGAGGGGGAGGGGCAGGACCTTTGGGGCGTTTTCTTCAGAAAGGGAAATTCAGGCGATTACGGCTCTGTCCTTTTCGGTCTAATAGGTAGTCCTCGATTTACAACTGTTTAGCGACCACTTGAAGTTACAACGGCACTGAAGAAAGTGACTTACAGCCGCTTTCCACACATGCAGCCCCTCCTTGGTCACGTGATCAAGATTTGCCCACTTGGCGTCTAATTCGCTTAACCGTGTTACTAATTGAACACCGTTTCGGTGATTCCCTTAGCAAACCCGGCAAGGAAAGTCGTAAAATGGGGAAAAACACAAATTTCTCCCTTAACAACGTAAATGTTGGGCTCAGTTGTGGTCGTACGTTGAGGACTACCTGTCATTCCGTCCAGAGGGCGTAGTTCTGGGCTAGAAGGGGTGTGGAGGCAGCTCTGTCAACCTGGCTTGTTCTCCCGTTTGGGCCCGTAGGCACCGGCCTCCTTGCCCCCCAGTTCTGCCCCCATGGCGGTGCCCAGCTCTCTCCAGCTCGGCCATGGGCAGGAGGACTCCAGCCGCTGCTCGGACAACTCCAGCTACGAGGAGCCTCTTTCCCCCATCTCGGCCAGCTCGTCCGCCTCCCGCCGGCGCCAGGGCGAGCGAGACATGGAACTGCCGGATGTCCGCCTGCGGGATCTGGTGGGCATGGAGCGCCACTTCCTGCCGAGCGAGCCAACCAAGTGGAATGTGGAGGACGTCTACGAATTCATCCACTCCCTGCCCGGTAAGCGTCGGCCGCTCAGCGATGGGCCAACCTCGGCCCAAGAGGAGGAGCCCCACCTCCTCGCCCCACGTGGGGCTACTTCACTGCCTGGGAGATATCCTCTCCCCCCACGGAAACGGGGATTGAAGGACTTTCAGAGAACGCTAGAAGTGAAACAAGCGCCACAAACTCAAGCTATAACCCTGCCTCCGTTTTGTTAGGTAGAGCCATGTTTTTCCAGCCCTCTCTAAGCGGTTTCCAGAGTCAGCCTCTGGCCCCCAACAATTTGGGGTCCTCATTTTACCCACCTCGGAAGGACGGCAGGCTGAGTCAACTTTGAGCCTGGTGAGATTCGAACTGCCAAATTTCAGGCAGCCGCCAGTCCCAGAAGTAGCCCTGCAGTACCGCACTCTAACCACTGCGCCACCTCCATCTTTCGTACCCCGGTCGTTCCCTTTTATGTCAGGAAATCTGCCCGTCCTCCAAGTTGGGTCACGGGGGGGCCGTGGACTCGGGGTGCTGGAGAGTTCTTTGAGCTGATGGGTTTGGGTCTCCCCGCCTTGCAGGCTGCCAAGAGATCGCCGACGAGTTCCGTGCCCAGGAGATCGATGGGCAGGCGCTGCTGCTGCTGAAGGAAGACCACCTCATGAGCGCCATGAACATCAAGCTGGGGCCGGCCCTGAAGATTTACGCCCGCATCTGCATGTTGAAGGACTCCTAGGAGCCGGGGCTGCGGTTGGGCCACGGTGGACGGACGCTGAGCGCGGGGGAGGGCGGGGAGGGCTCAGGTGGATCAGGCCCTTGGGCCAGGACTCCCTCTTCTCACCAGGTAACTTGAGCACAAAGAGCCCCCAAGGACGGAGGGGGAGGGGAGAAGAGGCAGACCCCCACCTTGGTGGCCTGATGCCCGGAGGGCAGGGCTGTGGGGCCGTGTACATACGACGATGATGACGACGTAGTAGTCCGTAGCCCCCCCCCCCCCCGCTCTTCTCCCTGCCCCAGGAGGGGAGGAAAGTGGTGCCCCTTGGACAGAGGAGAAGAGCCACCAGGCCCTCTTTGCCCCCCCTAGCCCCCCCCCTCCTCCCATTTTGCATTGGACAAAGCCTCTCGGGAACCTCAAAGCCAAACAGGACCGTTGCCTTAAACTTTTGTGTAGCTAAGTGTGTGTGTGTGTGTGTGTGTGTGTGATATTGGTGCCACATAGTGCACTTCCCCACCTCTCTGGCCCCACCCAGCCCCCTGCAGCTCCTTCGGGCTCACCGGGGCCCCCACCAGAAACGGCACCTCGCCAGAAATCCAGGCAAGGCTCCCCTCCTCGTTGTCACGCGTCTTTTCTTTCTGCCGTCCCTCCTTTTTTTTTTGCCCCCCCCCCCCTCCATTTTTGAAATGGGGAGCGGCCAGGTTGGAGCCACAAACGTGGGCTGCCCTGCGCCCCCCCCCCCCCAACCCCCTGGGGGGGGGGTCCCTTTGTTCTGAAAAAAAAAAAAAAACCGTTCCCCGGCTGCCTTAAGAAACATTTTGCGTTTGTTACGAGCGTCAATTCACACACACACCCCCGTTTGGAGAAATGCAGCCCACCAAGGGAGGGCAGGAGGGGCTGGTTTTCTCTCTGGAAGATGGGGCAGGCCTCAGGGGTGTCCGGAGTGGGTGGACTCGCCCCGGGCAATCAGGGACGGAAAGGGGCGCAAGCGGGAGTGCAGCTGAGCTGTGTCCCTCTGTGGTCGCCAAGTTGCAATGCCTCGTTTTCCCGTGTGCTGGACACGCCCCAAAGCCCCCCCCTCCGGGCTGCAGGAAAAGGACTTTCTCTGGATTCTTCCAACACCTGGTTTTTAATAAACATCTTTGGGAAAAAAACAAAGTGTCTTAAAAATGATGGTCGGCTGAGCCTCGAGGGCTGAAAATAGCACAAAATAGGTTGTAAAAATCGGGTCGCTCACAGGGGTGACTTACTTCACGACTTATGCCTGTAACGGGGAAGCTCCATTACAGTCATAAGTGGAGGACTACCTGCAATTCCTTTGGTCTGACGGTCATCATGGTGGCACAGGCGGCTTCAAGGCCGCTTCAGGGTTTCGGTAGCTTAACCGTCTGTGTGCGAATGCAGACATTGGCCTTGGGGGGCTTCCTTGAGTCGAACCCCCCCCCCCCCCACGAAAAGGAGACCAACCTGCGCCAAGTCCAGCCCAAGATTGAAAAGACATTTTATTATTTGCTTTCCACAACAGAGAATACAAAGCAACTTTTAAAAAGTGATCATTTCTCATATATTGGTAATATTTTTAAATTTTCTTAAACGATGCAAACAGTTGCCCGGGACAAGGGAGAGTCTCTGCTCTTTCCACAACATGAAAGTTTTAGAAATTGGGAGGAAGGATGTTCCCTCTTTATATATTTTTTAAAAAATTCCTTTCCCTCCCCCGCCCGCCCGCCCCCCTTAACAAGGGCACTAGCTAGATGCTTCCTGGGCTTTTATATAGAAAAAAAAAAAGATGTTAACAATATGTATAAGAGTCTTATTTACAGAGTTATTAACATGCCAAAAAAAAAAAAGAGGAGAGGATACAATATTGAATATCATACAACATCAATTCAAAACCGAGAAAGAAAAGTATTTTTTAAAAAGGAGGGAAAGGACCAGATCCGTATAAACGGCGAGAAACAACTTGCTTAAAAAAAACAGCGATTCTTTTAAGGCGTAAAAATATTTTTCCTTTTTTTAAAAAGAAAGTTAAATCTTTCAAAAAGAAACAACAGGGAACGCAAAAGGGGGATCAGAGAGGCGGATTTTCAGTGGTGTTGGTGGGGCTGGAGTGGAGGCCACAAACATCGAGGCGTGGCTGAAAACCCGGCAAGAGAGCAAAGTTGCACCTGCGTCTGCCCGCAAGGGGTGGCCGAGGCAACCGTCGGTCTGGGCGTCTTGTGTACTTTCCGAAGGATGGAAGCAAAACTCAGCCGGGGATGAATGAGCCAGTGGCATTATTTTTTTGAGGAGGGGATTGAAAAGGCAGCCTCCGGCTATTTTTCTTGGAACGGGGCGGGTCCCGTGCCTCCCCGCAAGGCAAAAACCAAGCCAGAAACAAGGAGAGGAGGTGGGGAAGAGACGTGGACTTCAACTCCGTCAATGCCCTGGCGTTCTTTTTTCATGCGCTTTGTGGCCTGCTTACTCTTCTCTTGGAGTCCCTTCCTCTGCAATCTCTCTGCTCTAGGAGAAGGGAGAAAAAGGAAACGGGGCTAGTCGGGGAATTTGGGGAGTCGAAGTCCTCAGGTCTTCCAAGTCGAGAAATACCTGCCCTCCAGACTTCGGGTGCCAGCAGGCTGGGAATGATGTCAACCAAAGTCCTGCCTGAAAATGGATGGGGGGGTGTTTGTTGTTTTTTGGTCTGATGCAAGTTCTTTAGCAATGCCTCTTACAAGCTCATGTGGCGATGCCAGAGCCCTACTTGCATGTGGAAGGCAGGCAGGCAGGCAGGCCCCGATTGCTATCGGGTGATCCAACCCTACGAGGGGTGGGGAGGACTCCTTAGGTAGTCCCTGACCTTTGACTGGTCACTGAGTGAGCCACCGGGTTGCTATAACAGCGGCGTACACTTAATGAGTACAGTGTTTCTTTCCTAAGGCCATGCGTGCTTAGCAACCACCATGAAAAAGATTGCAAAATTGGGACAGTCCTGTGAGGGACCCATTTTACGACCGTTGCAACAAGTGTGTTGGGCAGGCTCCACCACAGGTGTAAGAAGGACTAACCAGTAGGCCTGAGATGGAAAAGCCGCGTAACCTCTCTCTGCCTGGGGAAGACCACCTTCTAAGGCTCCTGGATGACCCCCCCCCCCCAAGATAAATGGGTTCCCTGCAAGTGGCCTCTTCGCACCATGGAGGGTCCCCTTCCGCCCCTCACGTGCCAACCAGGAGGCGTAGCAGCGTCCGTCGATGCGTCTTTGGGTCGTCTAGAGATGAATTGGGGCGACCACAAAGCGGGAGGGAGACTTGATGATCTGGGGGTGGGGGGGGAGGAGAAATGGCAGAGCAAGGGACCCTCCTGTCCTCCCCCTCAAAGACTCGCTTGGCCAGGTTGCACGCCCATCGACCAAAGACAGCGGCGGTTTTCCAACTCAGTGGGAATGTAACATCCCAACCACCTAGTTGTAGGTTGGACACGGCTAAAACACGTGCATGGAAGGAACCACCCCCAAGCGCACGTCCCCTGGAGCTGGGCCCTCTTCTCCTGCCAGCACAGGTGCCACCCTGGTCTCCCCTACACGACGGCTCTCGTCCAATGGTTGGTCTCGTCCCAAGAGGCCACCAGGGTGTCGAACCCGTATCTGATGCAGCGGACGTTCCTGACGTACTCTTACAAGTGCTCTGGTTCCGTTGTCTCCGCCCCCCCCCCCAGCCCCCCCCCGTGCCCCCCCAGTGCATACAAGGTCTCCCCACTGAGTTTTGCAATCTTCCCCAAACTTTCCCCCTCTCGAAAAGGACCAGCGGTTGGTTCCGTTTTCCGCCCACGAATTCTCCCTGACGTTGAGCCAGCCGCGGGTGGATCCAGGCGTACGACCTTTGGCGTGCAGCCTTGTTGCGTCCGCCAGACTCTGCCTCTCTTGACGCTTCCGGGGTGTCAGGTCTCCTTCCAATTTAGCACCAAAATACTTTGCGGTACTGTCCTTGTCCAAGAAGACCGACAATGGCTTCAGGGTGGAGTCCAGAGAATTGTGTGCTCCGCGTGAGAGAGGGCTCCGAAATCTCCGCCAATGTTTTCTTTTGGGGGGAGGGAGAGAGGAAGGGGGGGGAAATGATCTGAATTGAGAAAAGGGAGGGAACACAGGAAAAAAACGGGACACTGCAATCCCAGAAAACGGGGCTCCCGGAGAAGCCAGCAAGGGAGGGTGAAAGTGCTGTGGAATCGTCTTTGGTTGTCCCCAACGTCGAAGAGGACACGTCCCCTCCGCAAACAGGGTCCAGGCCCGAGGCTGCTCGGGGGGGGGGGGTGAGGGGGGGCAGAGGGGAGTATGGGGGGGTGTCTCTTGGTCCTCCTGAGCACAGTGTGCTGTACACTGTCAAGAAATCTGAGGAAACGGCCCGGGGAGAGCCCGACGGCCGTTTTGCATAATCCGAAGGCCTGTCCGTCCTGCTCCCTCCTTTTCTCGCTTCGGGCGTTTGCGAAGGTCCGTCGCGCGCGGGGGGGGGGCGGAGGGGCGGCGGCTGCTTCTCTGCGTCTCAGATGAGGGATATCCGAACGGGGATGCCGGGGGACTCCGTCCTCTGGGGCGAGTGCTGGTTCACCAGGTGCTCCACCACCGTGTGTTTTGACATGTGCTTCATCAGGTACGTCTCCTGGGGAAAGAGGCGGCAGGCACACCCACACAGGTCAGCCTCCCCTTGGCCTGCTTAACGGCCACTGGGGAAAAAGGAACCGTTTTCACCCTTACAACCCTTGGGGCACCCCAGGAGTCTCTGGGTCAACACTTGGGACACTCGGCAACTGGCAGGCACTTGCGACTGTTGCAGTGTCCTGGGGCCACGTGAGCCCCCTTTGCAGCCTTCTGATGGGCAGAGCCAATGAGGAGGCCCGATCCACTTAATGGCCCTCCAAACCTCGGCCCTTCCCGTCTGGTGCCTTGCAGCCCCACCCCAAGTTTAAGGGCGGCGCTCTGGGCAGCCGTGACTTTCCCCCCCCCCGGGGGGGTTTGGGGTTCGCCAACTCGCTTGCTCCCCACGACGCCCGCAGCCTGGCTCAGAGGGGCTCACTTACTGACGTGTACGCTCGTCCGCACATGCTGCAGCAGTAGGCCTTGGCGTGCTTGATTGCGTGCGCCGAGAGGTGGATCTGGAGCGAAGCCGAATCCGAGTACGCCCGGTAGCAGTTGGGACACTTGTAGGGTTTGTCTTTGTTATGCTGCCGTTGGTGGGACTGTGGGGGGTGAAAAGGGGGAAGGAGTCAGGCAGAACCCAAGCGCCCATCGGCCCCCGGAGGCAGCCAGACGCCAGACGCCAGGGCCAGGGGCAGTCTACCAGAAAGCCTCCAGTGCGCTTCTTCCCGCCTCCCTGGGCTGCAGCCAAAGTGCCCCAACCTGAACAAGATGCGGGACATTTCGATACACAACCGTCCGTTCAGTTATTGTTCCAATTTACAACGGTGCTGAAAAGGGGCACTGAGGGCCGTTTCCCCCGCTAACGACCGTTGTAGCATCCCCAGGGTCACGTGATCGAAATTCAAACATTCAGCAACTGGCATGAACTTATGACGGTTTCGGTGTCCCGGGGTCCCATGATCTCCTTTTGCGACCATCTGACGAGCAACGTCAGTGGAGAGGCCAAATTTGCTAAGCAGCTGTGTTACTAACTCAACAATGGCAGCGATTCACTTTGTAAGTGTGGCAGGGAAGGTCGTAAAACGGGACAAAATTCACTTAACAAATGTATTCCTTAGCAATGGAAATTTTGGGCTCAGTTGTGGCCCTAAGCCGAGGACTACCCATAACAGGGAAATTGTCCTAATCTCTCCCTTCCTCAACTTCCTTTAACAGTTACAAAGAAAACCAAAGGAACGTCAAAGTGAAAGCAGGTTCAGGCTGGAAAGATTTAGGTCCAGTTTGGCCGCTGCAAGATGTGTGGACTTCAACTCCCAGAACCCCCTGCCCGCCAGGACAGGAATCCTGGGAGTTGAAGTCCACCCAGCTTACAGTGACCCGATCTGAACCACAACCGACTTATGTGCTGGGAAACAGATACTCTCTGCATCCAAGTTGTGGCCTCGACTTCCCACCTACGCCTCCCTCCGCCCCACCTTGGCCTCCCCCGTTCCCTCCCCTCACCTGGAGGTTAGAGAGCTGTGTGAAAGCCTTTTCACAGCCAGCATGCGGGCACTTGTACGGTCTGTCTCCGGTGTGGATTCTGAAAGGCAGCCAGACACGGGAAGCGTTTCACAAAGCGTTTCAAAACACTAGCTAAAAGCCACGGCTCACGCGGAGACCCCCTCCACCCCGAGACTCCGATTCTGTGCTGTGGCTTTGAGGGACAAAGATTTAGATTCTAAGGGGAACCTGAGACACAAAGGTGACAAGATTTGGGTGACCCGCCAGCGTTCACCAACAACACCCAACAACTATTCTTGAAAGCGGGCTCCATCCGTGCGGGACTTTCCAAGGCTTGGGAGACGCAAAACGCTGGACTGCGCCTGTCGGGGAGCAGCCGGAGCCTAAAAACCACGCGGGTTACGGAGATTGTCTGCACGGGGCTTTCAGGGGGCTGCAGAGAAGCACCGTCCAAAGCCACTTCAACTACAAGAACCTTGTGCAACCCAGAGTGGCCTTCAACAGAAAGAGAACCCCCACCTGAAAGTAAGTGACATGCAGCGGATCCTAGGCATTGTCGACAATTGGACTGTATTTTTAAAAAATAAAGTGGATTCTTAAAGAATCGCTTCTCTTTTGTGCGATTTGTGTGTGTGTGTGTGTGTGTGACATGCCAACAGAGTCAAGTTAGGCATTTTTTTAAAAAATTTTGAAGCATCCCAGTCCAAACGTTTCAGCACCACTGATTTTAAATGGTCCCAGTGGAGAATGGATGCCTGTGTTGGGCCCAACATATAAATAATCGACAAAATGGTGTGTAAACGTACATAGGAACTAATAAAATGGCACAGAGCGCTTAAACTAAGGGCCGAATCCTAGGCATAGATGCCTTCACACCACCTACAGCACAAATGCCGGTTCCTTTTCGCTGCCCACCTTAGGCAGTGGCACGAGAGCCCAGGCTGCATAGAGGCTGTGGCCCCACCTGGCTGCGTTACCCCTCCCTTGTCACCCCACTTTTCCCGTTGAGCCCCACCCCCCATGAGGGAGGGCGTCCCGGGGCCTCCGTGCTGGGTGAGCCTTACCTGGTGTGCTGCTGGAGGTGGGAGAGCTGGCGGAAGGACTTCTCGCAGTAGGAACAGTGGTAGGGCTTGACGCCCAGGTGGATGCGCAGGTGCTGCGCCAGGTAGGAGGCGTTGGCAAAGGACTTGGAGCAATGGGGGCACTTATGCGGCTTGGCCTCGGTGTGTGACTTGGAGTGGATCTGCATCTCCGACTTGGTGAAGAAGGTAAGCGGGCAGACTTTACACCTGAGGAGCAAGGAAGGGGGGGGGTTAGGGACTCCGCCAAGCCCCAAACTCAGGGGGCTGCCCAGAGCGTGGATTTGACTCTGGCGCCGTGGTGGAGGGTGAAAGTCTTGGAGCTGGAGGGGAACGCACCGCCCCCGGGTGCAAAAAATGGGAGGCTCAGATTTCAAGGCTTGGAACGGAAGGTGAAAGGAAGCTCCGGGCAGAAAAACGAGCTGGACGTTGATCTCTGGAACTCGCTGCCACAGGATGCAGCAACGTCATTATCAAGCATGACTCTGCAATGCAGAGGGTGCCAAAGCCACAGAGCTATTGGGAGCCTCGGGGCTTGTGCAGGCGGTGGAAAACCCCATTCTTTACGGGCAGCGCCCCCCCCGAACCCCCAACACAGGCACAGAGTTGAAGCAAGAGAGGGCAGGTACGCCAGGTGCTGGGTTTGAGATGAGTTGCGCCTGTGACCGCGACCCTTTTGCCGTTAATCAAACCAAAAAGTGCCAGGTAGGACATGGAAATTTAAGCGCCACCGATTCCCACGTTGCTTCGGAGGCTAAACGTGGCATTCGCTGTGGACCATGAACCGCCGTTGATTTCAAGGGGGGGCCCGTTTTCTTGACCCACCTGTATGTCTTCCCTTCTTTGCCGATGTCGCCCGAGGCTAAAATGGGATAGGGGACCACGAGGACCGGGGGCCCCGAGGGGTTCTCGGCCTTGATCTTCTTGCGGCCTCGTTCGCTCTTGGGGGCCCCCAGCAGGCTGTGGCCCTGGATTGTCTTGATGGAGTCCAACAACGGAGGGCTGGTGATCCCCGAAATGAGGGTGGGCGAGGAGGCAATGAGGTGGCTCTGGCTGGAGGAGGTGGGCGTGGAAGGGGTGCTGGTCCCCGTCCCCGTGCTGGATTCGGAAGTGCTGACAGCGGGAGTGCGGGACCCCAGCCCCAAACCTGGAAGTCGGGGGGAAAAGGCTAAGCAAAATCCTGCACCGGAGGAAGAGGAAGGAAGGAGTGTCTGCATTCAGCCCGGCTCTCCTCTCTCAATTGCTTTTTTGTTACAAGAGAGAACAAATTATAAACGAAGAAGCAGTGCCCCGTTGGGCAGGTTGCCCCCTTAATGCCTCGCTTAATGACCGCACCCCTCCACGGTGAACTTTCTGGGTTGTTATGGTGGTCGTAAGACGGGGAATGCCTACAGCTCTCTCCCCTTTAGCCTCGGTTTGCCCCCCGAGACCATGAGAACTAGCACCCAAGCCCTTTTGTTTCCCCTACCTGTGACGGTGCTGGTGGCAGGACGCGCGTGGAGGGCCACGTCCGGCTGGGGCACCGCCTGGGGGTGAAGCCCCGGGACTTGCTGGAGCTTAGGAATGGACATGATGGACGGGCTGCTCTCCGCGGGCGAGGGGGCCACCAGCAGGGGCTGCTGGGAAGACACTGAGGTAGGCGGCAGATGATGGGGACGGATCTTCTCCGCCATGAGCTGCTCCTTGATTTTGTTGATCAGGACTAGATTGTCCAGCTGGGGACAGAAGGGAAGAGAATGACCCACCTAGAACAACCGACAATCGTGGCTCAAAAGCGACAGGAGGCCAAGGAACGGGGGGTCAGGCTAGATGACCTTCAAACATCCCTGCAATTCAGGCACTCGATAGCAGCAGCCAAGGCATATTTAAGGACCAACAGTGGAAAAAAATGTGGCCTAATCCTGATTCAGTGGAACCGAGGCATTTCTGCCCAAACTTCATCTGGACTTCAAAGCTAAGTGGAGTCACACCGGTTCGTCTTGGAGCGGAGGCCACTAGGAGATCTTCGATAGCATAGCCTCAAAATTAATGGAAGTTAGAAGATGATTTGAGGGGGGAAAAATAGCCCTTTTTCTAACCTACACCGGGATAGCTGAAAGTAATATAATTAAGGCAGGGGCTGCTCCTCCTTTTTCTTAAAATGTACGTAATTAAGATTTTTAAAAGAACATAAAAACACAAATTATAAAAGAGAGAAAGGAAGGAAGGAAGGAAGGGTCTGCCGTGTGAACTTTGGTTCTTGAGGGCTAGAAACTTTGGGGGCGGGGGGGAGAAATCTAACCAGTAACCGGAAGCCGAGACGTCGCAGTTCTTACCTGACTGGGCATGGTGGGAGGCGGTGGCCAAAAATAGGTGTTGTTAAAGCGCGGCTCCGCCATTCTGGAGAGAAAAGGGGAGGGAAGAGGGGAGGATGGGTCAGGCCAGATGTTCTCCTGCATCCACAGGGTCCCCTTTCCTCCCCCCAAACCCCCCCGGGGGGGCCCTGCAGAAAAGAGGGAGGGGCTCAGCAGAACCCCAAATAAACCCCCAAACAGAAAAATAAACCACAGGGGAAAAAAAACAGTTGCAGAACCCTGGAAATTCTGCTCCCCCCCACCTCGCTCTTCGGTTAGTCCTCGACTTACAACAATTCATTTAGTGACCAAAGTTATAACGGCACTGAAAAAAGGGACTTGGGGTTGGCTTTTCACACTGATGACGGCTGCAGCCTCCCGGTCTCAAAATCTGAATGCCTGGCAACTGACTCGTATTTATGACGGCCGCAGTGCCCCTTTTGCGACCTTCAGACCATTAGAGTCGAGGAGGAAGCCAGATTCACTCAGCAACTATGTGATTAGCTGAACGACTGCCGTCATTCACTTAAGAACGGTGCCGAGAAAGGTCGTAAAATGGGGCAAAACTAACTTGACACAACTGAGTCACCTAGCAACATCCATTCTGGCTCCATTTTAGTTGTAAGTCGAGGACTTTCTGGTTTTGGAGCAAGAGAAGCAGCTAAATTATATTTTTGGAAGACCGGTTAAGGCCACAAACCTCTTTTAAACCCAGTTTCGGGTAGAAAAGCAAGAGAGGAACCCCACAGAGACTCCCACTTAAACCCAAAGAGACCAGATTGGAGACCAGCCAAACTGTTGAGTGAAGAGCACCCCCAAACTTGTGGCACCCGCAAATCCTGGTCTCTGAATGGATAAAAGGACTGTTTGTTTTTACTGGTGGAGTTGGGAGGGAATTGGGAAAAAAACTCCCGTCAAAAATAAACACAGACTCAAATCTTTCAATCTCCACCAAAGTTGAATACTTGCGGATAACTTAAAATATATATTTTTAAAACACGCCCACAAAACAAAGGGTTGGCTTTAATTTGGACCCACTTTTAAACCTTTCACACTTTGCCTGGGTGGGGGAAAATTCAAGGCAGGGAAAAAACTGGAACACGAAAACCACAAGAAAGAAATGACTTTTTCTTTTCTTTCTTTTTGACATTTTCCCGTTTTGGAGTTACCGATAAGCTGCGACGTCCACCCAAAACTCCTAAGCAATCTCCAGCAATAATAAACAACAATAACCAACCATCCAGCAGAGAGGAGTGCAGCGCTTGTGGATTAAACGACACAAATAATTTAAACTGAGAAAACACACTTCAACTCAGCCACCACAGCCAGAGAGAAACCTCATTTTAAATGACGGCAAAGAAATTTTTGGTTGCTTGGGATTGGAAACGACAACATTGTTGTTAACGGGACTAGTAGCAAGTGCAGGGAAAAGCTGATGCGATTTGTATCATCGTTTATGTCAATTTTTATTGTGGTGGGATATTGTAGCAAAACCCTGAAATCCTGCCAGAATTTCTCATGACCTCGTCTTACATGTATCTAAACCAAGACGCATCCAGATGTCAACCTTTCTCTCTCTTTCTCTCTCTCTCTCGCTTTCCTTTCTTGCAATCTTTCCTTGATCCCCCCGCAAGATCCATCCGTCATCGCGCACAAAGTCGGTGTGAATCCAGCTCCACTTTGGGTGCCACCTCCCCCCCCCAGAGGTTCAGCATCCGTTCAAGAAGCCTCCTTTGAATCACGATTGGTCAAACTGCCCAGCATCCGAGTCACACAGATACATCCTGGTCACTTATTTTTTAAGGGTCTTTACTTTAACTGGGATGGTTGGGGCTAAGAATCATTTGAGGTGGCAAAGAAAATAAAAGGAAGGATGGAGTTTAAAAAGAAGGCAATAATCCTGATAATTATTACTTAGTTCGGTCACAAAACGTCTGCAAGAAGACAGCCAAGGCCAGAGAGCAACCAAGGACCCCACAGACCTCCTCTTCCTTCCCCGCTCCCCATCTTCCGTTCTGCAAACCTTACTCCCTTCTAGCACTGATGGTGTTACCTAGCTGGGTCACAAAACGTCTGCAAGGAAACCACCCAGCTCAGAGAGCCCCCAGGAGCCCTCAGCTTTTCAACCCAGGTTTGCAATCCCTCCAAGTGGCCGTCAGAAAATCACCCCTGGGTATCAGGGGGTCCCAGACCCAGAAGGGGGCACGTATCCCCCTTGGAAAGGATGAGCCGCAGGCGTATTCTCAGCCCCCTGCTTTCTCCGTAGCCCTGAGCCAGGAAATGGGGGACAGGACCTGAAGTCCCAGCCGCCTGGGGAAGAAGGCAGGAGGCAGGCCGGGATGGAGAGGTGGACGGACAGGCCTGGCCGCCGCTGGGGCGCTGCAGGGTCCGATCGCAGCCCTGCAAGAAGGGAAGACGTTAACCGGAGCTGGGTACTCACGGGGTATCTTGAACCCTGGCAAGAAGGGTGCTGCTGTGACTCCAAACCGTCCCTTCTGGTGCAGGCAGGGACCAGCACCGGCCGCTGGGCTCAGGCCGGGAGGGCTGCCCGGCCTCCGCCAGATCCTACCCCACTGCAGTTAATACAAGCTACGGCCCCTGGCAGGGGGAGGCTGTGCCTGGGAGGCCGCCCGGCCTCTCGCCTGGCTGAAACAAAGAGAAATAAGAAATGGTTCACACAGAAGCAGCGGCCGAGCACTGAGCGCGGGCCTGGGCAGGAGATGGAGCCTCCTGTGGAGGGGCAGTCTACCTCAGAAGAGCCAAAGGGCGCCTGGGAAGACGCCCAGAAGCCATTCTTAATCCAAACTCTCTGGCAAAACCTCACGGCCTGCTCCAGTCACCTAATACGCTGAACCTGGTTAGCCTGGGCCAGCTGTGCTTAGAAAGAATGAGGGGCTCTGCACTAGGGGAGGCAGGATGCGCCCCGAGGCTTCCGGCTTCCAATAAAGAGAAGGGAGAAGGGAAAGAAAAAAGCAAAAATGCAGAAAGGGAAGGAAGGAAGGAAGGAAGGAAGGAAGGAAGGAAGGAAGGAAGGAAGGAAGGAAGGAAGGAAGGAAGGAAGGAAGGAAGGAAGGAAGGAAGGAAGGAAAGACAAAAGAGAGTAAGGAAAGAAGGAAAGAAAAAAAGGAAAGAATTTTATTTGGGCTGGCTTTCAACACTCAGAAGCTACTTTTCCCATCAAGAAGGGAAAAATTCACAAAAATTGACAAATCCTTCTATTCTTAAAATAAAGCACAACTCTTCTATCGCATCCTCACAACACTACAGTTGTGTTCCCAACACACAGTGTACTTTTCTATTCCCCTCCAGCATCACAATAAAACAACCTCCTCAGATGCCACAGAAGCGGTCAAAACTGAAAGCAACAGCTGAAGTAAGGAGCCGCTTGCAGGTAGTCCTCTCTTAGTGACCATTCCAAGTTATGACAGGCCTTCCCAGTACTACTTACAACATGGTTTAAAGTTGTAACGGCCATCTCTCCAGTCAGGTGACTGCATTTTCAACATTCAACAACCAGCCCGCATTTATGGATATTTGCAGAGTCACAAAGTTATGTGACTGTAATGTACAACCTTTTTTATTGCTGGAAACTGTGGTTTAATTCTAGTTTCTGGCCAAAAACACCATGATTTCTATTAATCGTGGTCTATTGAGTTGGCCAACATGAGCTGGATTCACCTATTATATCACACCACAAATTCTGTTTTATAAATCTCAGCGCTTGACTCAATATGCTAAGGAGTTATTTGTTTTTAACCACAATCCGTTTACAAAACACACTGAACCACAAACAAACCATGTTTTCAAATACAAATAAACTGTAGCACATACAGCAAGGAGCTTTTGTTATTTATATTTTTCCCTGTTTAAAAGTTTCAAACTAACTTGGATTTTCAAAACATTTCAGATGCGAGTTTAGCAGACATGACATTTTAAAATGTTTGCTTTGCTTCATTAAAAAAATTAAATAAACGAGCAAAATCAAATACATCTCCTTTGATTTAAGACCGCAGGAGGGAGAGAAAAATCCCCTAAAATTCACGTTTCTAACTTTGCTGGAAAGTTGGGAAAACAAAAGACTCAAACAGATCGGTGTTGGGGGTGGTGGAAATCTATCTAACAAAAAACTGCATAGCCCTCAAGACTGTAGTTTTCTGATATTAAAAACTGGACCCCGCATTTCTCCAAATGAAAATCAAAGATCCCACTAGGTATATTTTAGGGGAAAGTCTTTTTCAAATGTACATAATATTTAGATATTTCTCCGGGGTTTTTTTCCCCCTTCCATCTTAGGGAGTTGTTGACTTATTTTGTCAGGTACAAGGCAGATAGATGGCCGGCCTGGGGAACTCACTGCCACAAGTTGCTGACATAATTGCCATTCGGGCCGAGTCAAATTAGTAAGGACAACTGTAAAGGTTCTAGTCCTCAAGGCTACAGGTGAAGGCCAGATGTAGGAGACCCAAGGAAACTGTGTTTGTGTAGAGAGGCCTTTGGTCTGATAAAGGCTTTCTCTGAATCTACGATAAGTTCCATCAAACAATATAAAACTGAATAAAATGGAACCAAATACCTGAAAAAACTTTTTAAGACAGGGCTCTCCAAACTTGGGAAACGTTAAGATGGATGGACTTCAACGCCCAGAATTCCCTGGCAAAAAGGCATCCTTTGGATAGAGGTATTCCCATTGTGTGCCTACTTACTCTCTCGCGGTGCCCTTCTCTGCAAACTCTCCGCTCTAGACAGTGGAAGAAAAGAAACAGGCATGGGTGTCTGGGGGATTCTGGGAGTGGAAGTCCACAAAGGCTTAAAGCTGCCTTAAAGTTGGAGAGCCCCTCAGTGCAGAGGCGGAAAACTCGCAACTAGTTGTCCCTCACGAAGGGGTGTGGAGCTCAAGCCGGCTGAAAAGAAGGTCTTGACACCGAGGCAGAACTTTAGGCCTCTGTCGCAGCCTCCCCATTTCCCGGCCAGTTGACTTTCCACGTGCCCCAATTTCAGCCTGTGCGGGGGTCCCTCTTTAGTCCTAGGGCTCAAAGGGATCTTGGAGGTCATCTAGTCCTGCCCCCTTACATCAGGAGCCCTGCTACCACCCCGGACAAATGGCCACCCAAGCTTCTCTCGAAGGGAGAGTTTGGAGGGTGGCGTGACTTAAAGCCAACCTCTCCAGACACAAAGCCACGTTTTAGCCCCAAAACACAGCTTAACAACTCAACAATCATGATTAGGGCAAGGGAGGGGTCCCTCTGCCCCGCCCCCCCCCCACGCCTTGTTGAAGCCTCCCCCCAAATTGTGCCACGCGCAGCTCACCAAACCCCACGCCTCTCCAAAGGGAAAACACCTGCAATGACAGGCAGTCCTCCAGTTACGGCCACAACTGACCCTGAAATTCCCGTTGCTAAACAATGCCGTCATTAAGTGAGTTTCGGCCCTTTTTACGACTTTTCTGGCCACCGTTGCTAAGTGAATCTCTTCCACTGTCCAGTCAGGAACCCGGTCAGAAGGTCGCAAAAGGGGACCATGCGACCCTAGGACAACGCAACCGTCATAAATATGAGTCGGTTGCCAAACGTGTGAATTTTGATCACGTGATCATGGTCCTAGGTCCCTTTTTTTCAGAGTCATTGTAACTTCGGTCACCAAATGAACCGTTGTAAGTTGAGAACTACCTGTGTTGTACAGGATTTCAGACTGACGTTTTGCCCCTTTCCTCCCCAGCCATCCAAACAGGCCCAAACCGAGGACACCCCCCCTCTCTGCCCCCTCCAAAATCTGCCCCCCTCCCTCCCCCCCCCAAGGCCTGGAGCGGCAGGACCCCAAACCCCAAAGTTTTATCTGGAGTTGGCGGCTAAGGAAACCAAGCACAATTTCAGATTCTGGATGGAGACCCCCCCCCCCCCCCCCCCCCCCCCCCCCCCCCCCCCCCCCCCCCC